AGTTTAAAATGAAAAATGACTTTGGAAATGGAATTATTCAAAGAGCAAAGAATGCAAATTTATAGCCATTGAGAGTTTTTTCATATATACATAGGTAATGGTGGGTATCTTTAGATTCTGTTAGATGTAACAGTTTATTATTAAAAGTATTGGCATTTAAATTACTTCTGATAAGTGCATCCTTTGCAGCTGATTAAAATATGAAATATTCATGCTGACTTTAAAATGCAGGTGGGGTATATATATTTTCAGATTTCTTGTAAGGAGTAGAAATAAAAAAATATTTGATAACCACTGGCTTATGATACGTGTTCTTCATCTACCTCTTTAGATATTCTCTAGTATCCTTAATCATGTGAGATCACTGGAAGGTTACACAAAGACCCTTTCAGATTCACCTTTATTGAGTTGTTCAAGACTTATGTTCTTGGTTTTTATGGAAAGTCACTGAAAAAAGAAAAAGCATTTGAAATCTGCTTAATATTTATTGTGAAGTTGAGTGCCTTTATTAATTTTCTTCTAGATTTAATACCTGGACCTTTTTTGTTTTCCTCATTATATGGTATGTGTCGTCCTTTCTGACCATGATATCTGTACAATTGAATGTTTCTCTTTTTGCCCAGGCCCCTTGAACATTCAGATCCACATTTCATACTTGGCTCTAATATCACTATTGATCTTTTCAAAAGGATATCTGTTTTTCCTTGTCCTTGATTTTCTGATTTTAAAAATTAATTTTTATTGTGTATTTGTCCTTTGGGAGTGTACAAAAGACATATCTCAGATACTTATTGGAAAGATGAGAAGTAAAATTTTTAAAAATAAGAAAGATTTATCTTTAAATTCATCCCTGCAACTAGGGGAATAATTCTCAAGAAAAATATTTTCAACCTAATACATTATTATGAAATTTGTTAAATTTTGATTTGAGGGATAGATAGATTTGTGAAAGGTTGGAAACTTAGTTTTGATATTGGAATGTGTTTGCCAGTTTAATTTTGTAACAAAGAATTTCTGCTTCACTTTTTCTTATATTGAAAGAGTAGCTTGCATGTACATCAACAGCTTTAATCTTGTCCTATAAAAAAGTGTTTGGCATTTAACTCTGAAGTCGATGGTAGATTGGTTCTTTCGATTCTAAACTGTAGAAAAACTCCAGACACATGACTGGGCATAAATTAATAGTGACTCAGGGCAGTCCTCAGGGTAGCGATAATAGAATTTACTGTTTCTGTGACAGTTTCTGGGAAAACTTAATAGTTCAGCCTTGCAGATTACTCAACTTCATATGCTATTGTTTTAGAATACTAAATTAAAGATATTTTGTTTGCTGTTGTCAGAGCTTCTATGCCAGTTAAAAGGAGAAGAAATATTAAAAACCAAAATAAGATTGAGTGAAGAAGAATGCGGCACATTTTGGATAATGTCCCATTCTGTGCCAATGGGGAATAAACCGTCTTATTAGACAGTGGAAGTTAATTGTATATCTTGACTATTTCAGCCAGGTTTTTCTTTTAATTTTTTTTAGTGCACAGAAACAAAAGTTAATGGAAAAACATCCATCTTACCAGTGTAGCATCAATAGCATCAATATTGTAGCATCCATAGTTTGACATCTTCCATGTTTCTTCCCTGTCTTTATGGAGTCAGGATTCATAGTTTAGAACAGCTTAGGGTAGTTCTTGCTGCCTCCTGTCTCCTTGGTAACAATGAGAATCTCATAGACTTGAATATGTTCACGCATGCAGACAGTTGCAAATACTTCGGTGTGTCTACTGAAGTAGACAGGTAATGCCACCTTTGTTCTAATACCAGCAAAGTATATCATTCTTTATCAAAGAACAAAGGCCAGGTGTGGTGGCTCACACCTGTGATCCCAGCACTTTGGGAAGCTGAGGCGGGTGGATCACCAGGTCAAGAGGTCGAGACCATCCTGGCCAACATGGTGAAATCCCATCTCTACTGAAAATACAAAAATTAGCTGGGCGTAGTGGGGCATTCCTGTAGTCCCAACTACTTGGAAGGCTGAGGCAGGAGAACTGCTTGAACCTGAGAGGTGGATGTTGTAGTGAGCCAAGGTCCCGCCACTGCACTCCAGCCTGGTGACAGAGTGAGACTCCTCTCAAAAACAAAAACGTTAAATGCCAAACAAGGTATCTCGTTTAATAATGCATATTGATTTTACCCAATTAGTGACAAGAAGTTCCCTACAAGCATTTATGTGTGAAGCTGCTTTAGGATTGAATATTGTCTGCTGTCTTTAATAGGTTGGGTGACTTCATTTAGGGCCTCCACATGGTCTAGATGTCATAAATCAGAGGTGTTCAAACTTTCTTTGCATCACAGAATGATCAGAAGAGCATTTAAAATGCGTGTCCCTGAGCCTCACACTTTGTAGAGTTGGCAACCTAAATGGTTGCTCTGCAGCTTGTCACCAAATTTACACATTATATATTTTTTGAAAATCCATAAAGATAAAGCTACCTGAGAAATAATACTGTTAGAGTCATTTGAGATGAGCATAGTTTTTAAAGGTAAGCAGAGACATTGGGAGAAAAAATGAGATAAAGGAATGACAGGATTGCCCAATACAAACATAGAGGGGGGCTGTGTGGTGTGGGGAGGGGTAGAGGTGAGGACGCATAGTGGATCTAAATAATACTGTAATTGTAACAATTGTCAGATTATTGTGAGGCTTACCTTTCCAGGCATGCTAATATTCTTTAAGTAGAGGTCACAAACTCAGTGCCTACAGGCCCAGACAGGTAATGCAAATGTGAGTTGTTGAGGAATGTTGCAACAGTAGACCCGAGGCCACTAGTGGACAGCCATTACAGTCAGTCATGGCCTATTGTTGCCAAACCAAGTCCATGTTTCTAGATCTTTCAGTTTTTAAAAGAAGCTAGAATTCTGGATTTTATATGAAGACTAGATTTTTAGGTGGTGACTTAATTTATTAAAGGCACTAAAAACTGAACCCTCATCTCTGGGTTGGGCTTGCCCCACCTGCCACCAATTTGCAGTCTTTGTTTTGGAGCTTCTCCAAGTGTGGTCCCCGGATTAGCAGCATCAGTATCACCTGAGACCTTAATAGAAACACAGATTCCTGGGCTCTATCTCAGACCTGTTGAATGCCCAGTGCCTGGGGTGAGACTCAGTCATCTTATGTTTTAACAAGCCCTCTGGGTGATTCTGATGTATGCTCACGCTTGAGAACCACTGTTTTGGAGCATGGAAGTTGATATTACAATTTCTATGTGGTGTTAGTAGTAAAGATAGAAGTTCATCAAATATCCTGTAAATTTATCAAATTTATTTCTGTATCAAAAATATATCAAATGTTTTTTGTTTTCAGGTATATATAACTTTTCACCTTTTGTGCCAGAATCAGAACACATCATAATTGTGTTTTCTCCCTTTTCTTTCTTGTTAAGAGTATTGCAAATGAACTTAACAACAGTTCTATGCCACATTTTGACCTCACTGGAACACATCTTAGACTTTATTTATTGGTTGATTAAAACTAGATAAATAAGTGATGTGGCTTTCAGCTTCAATGTTAAGTCTCCTTTAAAAGTATTAAATATAATATTCAGTAAGTCCTCACTTAATGTTGATAGCTTCTTGGAAACTGACTTAGCCAAATGATGTATAATGAAACCTATTTACTCTAGGCTAACTGATATAAACAAAATTAAGTTCCCATGGCATATTTCTGGTCACAAAACATCTCAAACTTCTAAATAAAGACCAAAACACTTCTAATGATAAATATTGAAATTAATGTGAGCTCTATGCACATTTAAGAAATATTAATATAGAAAGATTATTCACCCACTGATTCCAGTTCAGGGTCATGGGTGGCCAGAGCGTCTTTCAGCAACTCAGGGTACCAGGTGGCACCCCATCCTGGACAGGAAGGACCCCATCCCATGACAGGTCACACTCATACTTGCTCAGGCTGGGACCATGGGGATGCACCACTGAACATAAAGTGCACTCACCTTCTCGAGGTGAGAGGAAACAGGAGTACGTAGAGAAAACCCAAACAGACCTGGGAGAACATGCTAACTTCACACAGATGGGCTTAGGCTGGGAATGGATTATTTTTTTCCTCATCACTTATAACAAAATGACATTATTCAAAGACCTATGATATATTAAGAATAAGGAATACTTCCTTATCACATTTTTCTAAATTGAGTTCTGTTTGCTGGAATTAGAATTTCCATTTCTACTTAACTACTTTTATATGAAAGAGGTAAATTTATGTGGTTTTATGTAAGTCTGGCCTCCTAACTGCTGATCAAGTTGTTTATATTTTAATGCCCAAGTGTATCAATGTCTTTTCCTCCATTTGCAGAATGTAGAAATGATTGCTATCCTGATTGTTGTCTTTAAAGTTCTTCCCTGGGTGTGGTGGCTCACGCCTGTAATCCCAGCACTTTGGGAGGCTGAGGCCTGCAGATTGCTTGAGTCCAGGAATTTGAGACCAGCCTAGCAATTTAGGGAGACCCCATCGCTACAAAAAATACAAAAATTAGCCTAGTGTGGTGGCATATGCTTATCATCCCAGCTACTTGAGAGGCTGAGGTGGGAGGATTGCTTGAGCCAGGAGGTTGAGGCTGCTGTGAGCCACGATCGTGCCACTGTGCTCCAGCCTGGGCGACAGAGTGAGACCCCATCTCTAACCAAACCCCAAAGTTCTTTTTTTGTATAAGCCAACAGTAAACATTTGTTCATTTAAAAGTTTTTAGTACCTTGCTAATCAGATATGAACTTTATTTTCTTAGACTTAAAAGTATACAAAAAGCGTTTTATTTTGAGGAAACTTCATGCATGTATTACATATTAAGTGCTTTAAATGCACTTTGGAGTATTTAAAATGCTGCAATAGACTGAGAAGTTTGGAATAATTTTGATTTAAAGTAATAGATTTTTGAACTAGAAGTCATCTGATTGTATTAATATTTTAAATAAAAATACGTTTATATTCACAGGGTAAACCAGACTTGAATACAACATTGCCAATTAGACAAACAGCATCAATTTTCAAACAACCAGTAACCAAAGTCACAAATCATCCTAGTAATAAAGTGAAATCAGACCCACAACGAATGAATGAACAGCCACGTCAGGTAAGGATCTAATTCGTTCTCCAATCTTATTTTTTCAGAAAAATACCAGTATTTTTACCCGACATAATTTAAATAAATTCTGGTTAAAATGGAGCATATTTGAAAAGAAAATTGTTTTATGTCCTTGGCTATTACATGAATGCTGGAGTATGCAAAATTTAGGTTAAATGTTTTAAGAAAAAATATAAGTTAATTAAGAATGAATTTAATTAATATTACGGACTAAATTTTTAGGCTTTTCGTGTGGTCATATACGTCAGACTTGGTTCTGTCAATCTTAGTTTTTTAAAGATTATCTTTCCAAGGATAATATTTCATAGAAGAATAAAGCATGTAGTTTGTGTTGTTTAGTTTAAAAATATTTTCTATTATTTGGAAGCTAAAACAACTTTTTATTCTGATTTCTTATTTCGTGAAATCTGTCCCACCCCTTTTGAAAAACAGATAAACTTTGTCAATATGGTATATTGTCCTGTGACTTCCATTTTTGTACAAATTCAATTAATTTTTCTCTTTCTTTATTGCTTCAAGCTGTATTCCACCAGAATCTTTTCTTAGAAAAAAAAAAAAAAGCATTACATGAAAGGCCTCCCTGCTGCCTAATAATGCCATATAGCCCGGGGAGGGAGACTGGACAAAATGCTTAAACCTTCCAAGTAATCTTGCTTATTCACTCCCTAATTGTGGTCATGAAGCCTAGGTAGTTCATGAATTTTTAGTAGCAATTGGGGTGAGGGAGTGGAGGGAGAAACATCTGTGCATTTTTTTCCTCTCCTTTCTCTGCCTCCTCCCACCTGAGTCCACCTAAGGATTAGAAACACTGATTTACCTACGACGATTATCTTTTGCTCTCGTATTCCCCTTTTAGATGTCTCACTCCACCTTTTCATTTGAATTTTGTTTTTCACTAGTCCTCCAAGTGTCTCATCTCCAGACTTCATAAAGGATTGGGCCAAAACTTTCAGACAGTTGCTCTAGAAGAAACTACATAAAGAAATTCAGTTCCCACATCCTCTGTAGTGTTTTTTCCTCTTCAGGTGAGCCAGGAAAACAGAAGATATTTGGAGCCACATTGGATCAGCATCTTGCTATAGATGTCTCAAGATTTGAAGTTCTAAACTTGCTTTACTGTTGGTCCCCAAGAGATTCAACAGGGGCCATGTAAGTGTATCACATCCAACATAAAAGATGCGTACCTGCATGTGCCTTTAGGCTCTTGTCACCACTTAGGTTTTCTTTGGGCCATTCAGCTTTCTGTGTGAGGCTTTTCCCTTCTGTTTTACTCCCACACCCAGTGATAGTCACCAAACCACCGGAAGTTGCAGTATATTCATTACAACAGGGAAGGAATTCTGCCATTCTGAACTTTGGCCACCTTGATAAAGCCATTCCCTGGTTGTATTCTTTCTCAGATACTATCTAAAGTCTTGAACATCTTGTCCTTTGACTTTTTGGTGATTTAAAAATCATTTCCCTGCAAAGGTATTTATTAATTGAAAAATTTGAAAGTATGTAATTGGGTAAAACAGATTTGCTCCAAAAATTCTGAAAGATGAAGGTGGAATGTAATCTTTAATTAAAAATATTGTTCCACATTGGAAATTTGAGTTGCCTTACTGAGTTCAGATAGTATTTAATAGATCGTATCCTTATCTTTTCTTTGCCAAATCATTCTCAATATAGTCTATAAACCCAAATGTTTTATTTAAACATCAATCAATTAGCAAATTCTGGCCATTTTAACAGTAATTTAATTATTTTCTGTTCCTAAATTCATTCACAGTTTAAAAAAACTCTAGTATTTATTTACTGGGTGTTTATCTGGCTATAAAGATATTGGTAACTTAGAAGTTTAAATTTGAAATAACCAGACTAGTTGCTCCTTGTTCTTTGGTATGTTGAATAGTTTTAAATTTTCTGTCTTTTATTATGGTGTATGAGATTATTCTCAAATGAAAGGTATGTGTCCAAAATGCTAAAGTTCCATCTCCTCTGTCATTTCAACCCAGATCTTTTCAGGATTTAATCTTCCTCTTAGCTTGCATAGACAGGAAGTGTTAAAATTATTTATCGGGCCACTTCTCCAAAAGCTTTGGCTGTTTTTTACTTTATCCTTATGGTACCTGACAATTTTTGTTGGATGCTTTTGGTTATGCTAAGACATTAGTTGTCTTTTCTCTTTCTTTATCTTCAGTGTAAGAATTGAGGTAATATTTGACCGCTGTCTCACAAATAGGACTGTACATTGGATAGAATATAGGAAAATAATACAAAGACAATTTTCGTGTTAATGTCTTAAAAATCATGATCTGTTATCCCAAGTATTCCAGTTTAGACTCAGTTAGTTAGTAAAGGGAAGATGTTGGTTTTAATTCTATTTTGATATACATGTGGCAGATGACTGTTAATCAGCTATTGTTATTGAGGAGATAGTTGGCAACATATACATAGGCAAAAGTGATTCTTCCAGTTTTGCTATCCATTACTTGGATTCATTGACTCAGTTGGTAATAAAAATTGCCAAAGATTCCATTTGGAGAAGTTATTTTTATCATAGAGTAAATGAATTAGGCAATGAGGTTTCTGTTTTTGAGGTTTGATAGATAGAAATGTTTTTATTCTTTAACTATATCAAATTCTTTTAATAAGATGCTCAAGATAGTGGTATTGTAATTCCTTTTAAAGTGTTGAATTTTGAGGCCTATAACTAGGATGAGGTTTCTGAATCTTAACTAGGCTTTGCCGTGAAAAGATCTGAAATGTTTAATTTACATAAGAAGCAATCATTGAAAATAATAATTCTGTCTTTTATAACCAACATCCTATGCCCAGGTCATTTATATGGCAGCCTAATTTGAGCCTAATTTGAATTCTATAAAATATATAAATTATGAATTTTTAATGTATTGACTCCTTGAAAATGCCTTAGCTTTAAAAGTGCAAATTAGGGTATGTAAAGAAAAGTATTAAACAGAATTCAGCAGTGAGTTCTACTTATAATTAAAATTATAAGGTAGCAGTGGAATTTGTAAAACCTAGTTATAATAGGGTAGTAGGCAGCCATTTTCTATATAGCATCAGAGTATTTGATGATTGCTTGTCTTTTTTTTAGATTAAAAAGACCTCTGTAGTAGGGAGGAGGGAACTCTACCAATTATCAGACTATTATCCCAAACAGTAATCATTGAGATATCTTTATTCAGCTAGATGCATAAAACACATCTCAAGATCCTTTCAGTCTAATTGAGTTGTAATTTTTGCTGGTAACAATGCCTTTTCTAGTTTACCCACTGCATAATATGGAGAACTATCATTTCTGTTTCTTACTTTTTTGCTGCTGTCATCTTTGATACTATCTAGTCTCTTGATTGCTTCTTTTTCTCTCTTAGCCTCAAACCAAAGAAGTTTCATCTTTGAACTATTACTTCTTACTTTTAATTATTAGATTATAGAGGGCTAATAGGCTTTTGGTGTTTTTGACAGTCTTTGAATATTAATTACGTTTCTTACAGAATATTCACTTTTTTTGTAGGAGTAACTGTTTAATAGTGAAGAAGCAGATTTGAATCTTCCACTTGATCGTAGATTTTTTTCCTTTTATTTCATTTTGCCAATTCTCATTTCAAGAATATGAAACTTTTCTTTACCCACTTCCAGAAGCCAGCCTTTTCTTTTAGAAGGAATTAAATGTATTAGAAGAAACTTTCCTGATGAAAGACAAATTTTTAAAATGTGCATTTTAAAGATATTGTGTATGAAAAATGCATAAAATAGTTTAGCTTTCAGTTGCTAAAACCCAGAGGGTTACTATTTCAGGCATTCTAGCAACATTTACTTGTTTCTAATCTCTTAACAGTTATTTCTAGTACATTCTCATTATAATGTTCTTAATGAATGACAGATAGATAGGCTAAAGCACAGAGTCTCATGGAGGATATTGTATTCCTTTGCTCTGGTCCGAAAAATTGGCTGCCTGGACAGAGAAAATAGAGGATGTGTCCTATAACACTTAAAAATATTACTCTGGGTAATGTTGGGAAGATGCCGTATACAAAGTGCCAAGTGAATAGTAGACTAATACAGGCAGGTGCTATAGGTGGTCAAGAAAAGTGAGGTTACTGTTGCTAGGAGGCTTGAAGAAATCTTTAGAAGAGGCATGAGATATATGCTGGACATATTTTTAAAATGTAAAAAATATTTTGTAACAATATTTTATGTTTTCTTGGGCTAGATTCCCAGAATTATAATTAGTGTGAACATTTACATTTTTGATACATACTAGGAAATTGGTTTCCAAAGGGTTATACCAAATTAAAAGACTATCAAGAAGTTAAGTCCATTCCAGTTTCAGCTTACCTTCTATAGCAGCAGTCCCCAACATTTTTGGCACCAGGTACTGATTTCATGGAAGACAATGCTTCCATGGACCAGATGAGGGGGAAGGGGATGGTTTTGGGATGAAACCATTCCACCTCAGATCATCAGGTATTAGATTTTTATGAGGAGTGTGCAAACTAGATCCCTCACATGTGCAGATCACAATGGGGTTCGTACTCCTGTGAGAATCTAATGCTGCCACTGATCAGACAGGAGGTGGAGCTGAGGCGGTAATGCTTTACCTTCTGCTGTGCTGCCCAGCTCCTAACACGCTATGGATCGGTACCTGTCTGTGGTCTGGGGGTTGAGGACCACTTTTCTATAGCTTTGAGTATTATTAGTACTTGTTTTCTGGGGGCAGGTAATTCAGTAGTTTAAAAGGGTATTTTATTATAAATTTATATTTCAATATGTGTAAAATTAAATAGACTGAGGCATTTGTGTTAAAATTTGAAAATGAGAAACATTTAGATCATTTTTAACTAGGGAGTAGCTTTTATGTTATCCATCTGAACTGAACTTAAAGGTATCTCCTGGTGGCCAAAAGCTACTCCAACATCTGTACTCTGCAGAGTACCTCCTTCCTTCTCAGAGGCCTCATCCAATGGAGTATGTGAGTTACC